CCTCTGCTTTACGAAGCCTTTGTTTACGGAGATGCCTATCTTTTCTCGGCTCCAGTTGCGTGGGCGAAGCGTTCTCCTTCCGTGCTCGTTGTACGCGCTCATCTAATTCCTCGCGGGAAATTTTATTAATTAAACACAGTTAGTCGAGTCAATTCTGCGCAAAAGCCAGCTACACAGTTGTTGGGGAACCTTTTTCTTTTCCTCGGGGTTCTTGCCATGTCCTTCTATCTTGAAAGCGTCTGTCGCCTAATTTAAATGGAAAATAATTACATGGGCGGTTAGACTCGAAAGTCTCTGTGCACCGGGAACTATACTACAGCTATTTCATGAATATAAGCACCAGAACATGGACACAGTAGCTTAAGCAACGTGGTACTCGAATAGAACCCCGAACTTTCCTTTCCAGTACTAATCCAGAAGCCCTCTGTGAATAGAACACATCACTGTCATTTCCATCCCGGCTCCTCGGATTACAAACAACTTAGGGGTATCGTCACTCCAGGGGGCTTGTTGGTCCAATCAGCTTTTGCTTAGGCCCTCTTCTTGGCCGACGTGTTACAGCCCTCAGCTCACGGTCCGACGGGTCCGAATTACCTTGCACGGCTGTGGACCAAGCAGCTGTACATGGTAATTCAGACGCTGCATCGCGCTGTTGCCTCTTGGGTACGTCAAAGCTGTTGCCTCAGCCCTGTTGAGTGGTTGCCCAGGTCTGTTCGATACCGTCCAGCCCTTCAGGTCATGTCAGTAGTATGCACAGGGTGTCCGAGATCGACCCAGCCCCTCGCGGTGCTCACACAGCTCCGAAAATGCTCTAAACCTGTCTATTCTGATGCTATGATATTTAAGTGTACAGGCGCGGGGCTCACTCATGCTCTTAAAATGTTTTTTGTCTTGATCTCTTGTTCTTGAGCTGTCCTTGCACTTGGTCTTGGGCTCCTTGCTCTTGTGAGACCGACTGCTGCATTCCTTTCCGTCCCGCCAGAAGTGCTCTCGCAAAGTGTGTTTTGATGTGGGAGCTCACACTTTAAGAGCACCTCTGTATTGCGGGACCGTAACGACTCTTCCGCATGTGGCTGCAACTTCGGTATGGCTAATTGGCAGCACGCGCCACTCGCTTTTGGAGCGTGGACACTCGCGGTGGGTCTAGGACCCCTAGGCGCGTGCATGGTGGTAGACGCTCCCAGTCACACCCACCCCAACCTGATTGCTATCGCTACCAACTGCCATACCACTTTGGAGTCTCGGGGCAAGCCTCAGACTGTATCCTGAGAGGTCTCTCTTGAATATATGATAGGGCAAGGAGCCCCACGCCCGTACATACATGCATATTCATCTAAAACTACCCTCCTGCTATTATACAGCCAGCGCACCTTGTCCTCTCCGCGCCGTCGCTCAAAAATCCAAATTCCTGTTTTGATTGAAAAGTGAGTCGAAAATATTGCCTAATCAGGGCGCGAGTTAATTGCGTCCGCGTTTTGGCCATAATTGTAATTTAGGCATAGTAAAGTCAAGTCAGAAAGGTAGGCGCGGTCGGTAGGATGGGGCGAAACTGTATAAGAAAGGCCCGAGTGTAGCCCTGCGAAAATGTAGGAAAAAGCAGCAAGAAAGGAACCGGACGGACTTATTGCCAGACGGACGGACAGACACGCTGCAAGGTTAGAAGCGGAAAGACTAGCGGTCTATGCGCCCGCTCCGCGGACGCTAGGGCATGGTTGGTTGGTGTAGTGCGGGCTGACCACCTTCGCTGCGCTGCGGTGGGCTTAGCGTTTCTACGTACAGCAAAGCAACATATAGTACATGTATACTGTGTTCTACTTATATTACGCTCCAAAACAACACCGCACATAGTATCTTTAGTGCACATGCTATGATAGATATGACCAGGGTTTAACGTGATCTGCAAGATGAGCACCATCTTACCCGTGAAGGTTTTGTCTATAATCGCATTGGAGCGCATAGCTCCCAAAACGACACGAATCGGAGGCGTGCCCGATGCAAAGCTAACAAATGCTGTTCAGAAAACATGTCAGTATCAGTGATGATCCACATTGGCATAGACCGGTGAGGAATCCCAGTTTAGCTGGAGTAAATACGTCTACTCAAACATAATATCATCTGTCACGTCATCGCCGTGAGGCAGTCGACACCATATCATTGATTGCGACGGTCTATTAGAGAAAGGTTTAGTCACTTCCTTGCGCGAAGTATCTTTTAGGACAGGTAGATTTTGCCGATAGTCGCGACAAACACCAATATTATGCGTTGCAATTGTTCTGCTGAGCTCTTTATGATATTATTGAAGGGTGTTTCCACTATCTTTTGCATGCATTGATTCTACTTGCATAGCTGCCGCACATACTGACTTATTTGCATAGATTCTGACTGATAGAGTGGCGTAGACCCTTTCGAGTGACATTTACTGGCTCCGATATGTATGACGAACAAACGAAGCCACATAACTGTAGGCAGATTATCAGATCGTAGATATCTTAGACTTGATTCGAATCGTCGCTCATGTACATTATATGAAGTACTTTTGCTGCCTACTTATCAACTCGGCGTGCTATTTGATGTATCCGTGCATATATTGCGAGGTGTGTATACCACGCGCTCGTGATATCTAAAACCTATGTATAGGATCACTGTCGCTTTCTCGGTACATTTGCGTCGTCGTGCTGGCTTACTGTGCTTACGCTTCTGATGTATCAGTCTATATGACCAAGCAGGTCACTAACTGGGCACAGACCATACTGCAGCGATACTGGACAGGGCACTAAAGTATAGTACTGCGTACAGACAGTTCGACTTACCACACCCACCGGTATTGTTTGCACTACCGCACACGTGCTCGTATCTATGTAGACAGCAACTTAATCGTCGCGTGTAGTGCTCACTCGATGCTGTAGTTTCAATTTGTGAGCGCACATTAATGGAACATACGCTGTGAGCGCTGATGTCACCGATAGCATGGTTTGCATGTATCCAAGTGAGCGAGTGTACTCTCGATCTATTGTTACGCGGAAGCAGATAGGGACGGTCAGCTTTCAAGGGTTCGCAGTAAACACCATGCGCTAATTATTATTTGAAACGCGCTACCCTCTGTAGGTGCGTCAACACTATTGGCAGCGCCATAGTCAGTTACCGTATGTGCGGCTCCAAGCCTCGTACCGTCAACCAGTATACTAAATACAAATATAGGTAGGAAAATGGGGGCCTAAAAGGGTATATTTACCAATTACTTGCTCTTCTGCTGCTTATTTTGCTCGATGTACTTGGCGTTTCGGGTGGTCAGCTTGCGAGGGCGGCTGCGCCTCTTTTTCTTCTTGGGGTACCAGTCAGGACCCATCGCCTTCTTGACGTTTGACAGGCTTTCTTGGCGGCGCACTTCGGCCGAATCAGGTGGTGGGGGCTTTTCCTCCCAGAACTCAACCGCTTTTGGGCCGTTCTCGCAGACAATACAGCGCCGCACGATGTCCCGCCCGCTGATTGTACGGAATGCGTAGCCGTACTGCAGCGTCCCGCAGCAGACGCAGCGCGCCCGGGAATCCGTCGTAGACCGCTGCGGGTTCAGCAGTTGCAGGCCAATATTGGCCTTGCACGTGGGCCTCGCCATGTTGCAAACTGTGAAGGAAATTTTATAATTACTAACGTGCGTAAAAATATTAGGTATTCTAACGGATACTTACTGCTGGGTGTTTAATATTTAGCAAAATATTAAATAGTATTATTATATCATAAACATGATATTATTTTAACCAATAAAGTACGTCAAAATATTTAGCCAATACACGGCCATTTAATGCCGGTACTCATTATTACACAAAAAAAGTTTTATTTTAGTTTTGGCAATCGCTTAAATAATGATATTATTATTTTTAAACAATCATACTTTTCAGCAATAACAACACCACCACGTAAGTACCATTCGCGCATGCAGGGGTGCAACTATAATAACGCAAAGGTCGTGAAGCCTCCTTTAGTAATAATAATACTACTAAATGAATATATCGTCTCTACTTCAAAAAACGTGTGGAAAATAACATCGCAATTTTTAACTGCATGGGCTGGTTACGGTGCCCGATTCGCAGTACATACGATAGGTTTTGCGTCGCTGAATGTCAATAATCAAGTATCTGCGCAGCTCGCCTAGCTGTTTGCAACCAATCGATGTGTTTCGTTCGCGGCAGAACTGTTTACCTTACGTCCAATCGCGAGGGCGAGAGAAGGTCTGGTCGTGCGACAAATTCAGTCAGTGTCGCAGGTCGGCAGGTATTGCCCAATCAGGGCGCGGGTTAATTGTGTCCGCTTTTTGGCCATAACTGTAATTTAGGCATAGTTAAGGCAAGTCAGAAAGATAGGCGCGGGCGGTACGATGGGAGGAAGACATGCCAACTGTAGCCATGCGAAAAAGTAGAAAAAAGCAGCAAGAGAGGAAAGCGACGGACTGATTGACAGACGGACGGACGGACGGATAGACACGCTGCAAGGTTAGAAGCGGAGCGACTAGCGCTCTGGGCGCCCGCTCCGCGGACGCTAGGGCATGGTTGGTTGGTGTAGTGTGGGCTGTCCGCCTCCGCTGCGCTGCGGCGGATGAAAGAACATTCTGAAATCAAAGCTAATTGTATTATATGTATTACGTGCCCTACCAAGTCCGCGTCCCAAAGATCTCCCTGTACACAATATTGTTGGTGTGTACGTTCCCGTCCTCATCGATGGCCACTGGATCTACAGCAATCTTGATCGCCTTCCTCGAAGTCACTCTTGACAACGCCACATAAAGCTGCCCATGTGCGAAGACCGGTGATTCCAAGTAGATACCCACGTGGTGGATCGATTGTCCTTGGGCCTTGTTGATAGTCATGGCAAACGCTGGAACCACGGGGAACTGCTTACGCTTGAGTTTGAACGGGAACTCCTTGTCATCGTCCTCACTATAAAATACGATCCGAGAAATGAGCACCTTCTTACCCTTGAACGGCCCGGACATAATGCTGGCCTCGATGCTTCTCTCGCGCAGTGACACAACCCGAAGCCGCGATCCGTTGCAAAGTCCTGCGTCGCTATTCAGGTTTCTAATCATAATGATAGGTGCTCCAACCTTCAGAACAATCCTGTGCGGAGGGATACCGGAGAATTTAAGAGAGTTCAAGAACTGTTGCTCAAACATATTTGCATCCGCGACCCCTTCGAGGCTGTCCACCGAGAGATACTCCTTCGTTTCACCTGACAGCCGTTCCGCAACCATGTCGTTGATACGCCGAACATTTGCATTTGTGGGGGCTAGTATGGCTCGCTCAACGAAGTATTCATCGAGTAAATTCTCAGTATCAACGCCCGGGTACACCGCATCAATGAGTGCGTTGACGTTGCGGACTCGTCGGTCTTCTTCAACTTCGTCCAAGTCTCGCTCGTGTTCCTCGTCCGCCGGAGGGAGTAGCCTGAAGCTTGGGGGAGGCTCCATATCCGCGTCTTCTTCGTCAGAGGTCATTTGTTGTACCCGTCGTTCTGGAATGATACACATGTCGCGTGGAAGGCATATGTCGCCATCACCGATCTCATGGCTGACCGGGTAACGGTATTCTCCAATTTGACGTAAAAATTCAGAGAATTCCGCTAACTCAGCCGCACTGGCCGCGTCTGGGGCGGTGCGGACACGCATGTTCTCGGCTAACCGCACTTGACGCAAATGCTCCCATAGCGGGGAGGACTTGAAGCAAGCTTGAATCGTCTCCGCACGCGTAGCATCCTTCAGTATAGGTAGAATCTGGCGGTGATCACCGCTGAACACCATTACCTTTCCGCCGAACGGCTCCAGATCGTTCTTCATGATATTCCGAAGCGACCTGTCAACAGCCTCAAAGCAAGCTCGGTTCATCATCGGCGCTTCGTCCCAAATGATCAAGCTCGCGCTACGAATCAATTCGGCTTTTTGACTCTGCCATGAAAGGCTGCACGTCGACGTCTCTGTTAGTTTGAGGGGAATCCGGAACGTTGAATGCGCGGTATGACCTCCAGCTAACAGAGTGGCTGCAAATCCACTCGATGCAACCGCGATGGCAACCTTACGTTGCATCCGAACGTGAGCGAGTATTTGCTCGAGTAGGAACGACTTTCCTGTTCCACCCGGACCATCCAAAAAGAAAAGCTTCTCCACTCCAACCGGTCTGCTCACAGCAGCAATAACTTGGTCAAAAACATCCCTCTGGTTGCTGTTCAACTGGTCTGCCTGCTCCGCACCATGCTCCAGTTCGTTTAGGGGGTAAGCGTCAATCTCTTGCTGGACAACATCAACAGAAGCTGTATCTGGGTCGTCCACTTGAGCGGATACATCGTCGTAATCGGCTAGCAGAGGAAGGCCGTACATGTCGAGGGACGTTTGGTTCGAAACCAAGTAATCAGCCAAAATCTTCAACGCCTTGTACTCCGCCATTCGAAGACGCACCTCCTCTTCGCGTACATTATGCAGGTCTGCGTCTCTTACCTCAATGCTTCGTGCATAATCCTCTGACATATCCTTCTTGAACCTGTCCCATAGATCTTTGGCATTACCAGGCATGGAGTAAACCAAAATGATGCGGAAGAGTTGGCGTAGCTGGTACGGCATCTTGACCTCGGCGGCTTCGCGTAAGCAATGTATCCACTCGTCGTCATTTTCCAAATACCCAAGCGCCAAAGCGGCTTGCTGATATGTAGGATGTTCCGTACCATCAACCGTTCGAAGATCCGCAAACGACTTAGGCGAGCGTCGGTTACACAGGAGAAGTCGTAAGTAGAAGCGTTTCGGGTCCTGCGGAGATACGTGTACCAAGCGTCCCAGAGAAGCAACGTACTTCTTATACGGTTCCCACGTCTTGTGTTCCGTCCACCTGTACTTCCGCGGTACATCCTTGTACAGTAGATTGGCCGTAGCTTCTGGATTACGCGCGCACAGCTTGAAAAACTCCGTCAGCATTGATCTGTCCCCGCGGTTAATCAAGTTGTGAAGCTGGGGGGTCGTCGCTTGGTCGCGATAAGCGACCATGCTCATTCTTTCCAAATGGATAGGTAGCGTCACGACAGAATGTGCTGAGCCTTGTGTTGGATGCATGAATAGCCGCATGCAAGCTTCTACCGGAGAGATATACCTCCCGAGGAGATACCGAAGAATTTCGCTCGCCCGAATTTCTTTGCCTTCAATCGTGATTGTCGTCATGTCCGAGCCCTTGTAGACGTACTTGTAGATAACCTTGATGGCCTTGTTCGTGGCACAAACCTCTACGTTGATGTGGCAGTTGTATTTCTGCGACAGGAACGGATTGTAGGGGACCACCCATTGATTGATGGTCGCGTTGTCCCATACTTTCCCCTTATGGCACAAAATTCCATCCGGACGGCGATCACGCTTGTACGTGGGGTATTTGTCGGGGGTCATCACCGTTTCGTCCGCGAGCGCCTTTGGAAACTTCTTGAAACACCTCCCGTTCTTCATGTACGGGAAGTTCGGGTTCTGTTGACCACAGGGTCCATGCAGCATATTGGAAATCACCGTATCGTACAGCTCGGGGTACTTCTCTTTATCCGGGAACTCCGAGGACACCAGCTTATCGACGTCTTCCTTGGTAGTGGGCTTGTCCTCCGGACGCAGGATAAGCAGTATGTGGGTGTGGGGAAGACCACGCTTCTGATATTCCACTACATGGACTCAAGCGGCTTGAATCCCCAACACACCCTCATCGAGATCCTTGTTAAGAGCTTTTAGTTTCTCCATGAACACGCGAGCCACGATGCGGATGCTTTCTCTCCACGGCGTAAGTTTTCCTTGATCTCAGGCCAGTTCGGGCTGCATGTCATCGTAATGAACAGGCTCGGGGTTCCTGTTTCACGGACGATAGCCATGGCATCCAAGAAGCGTTGGTACATGTAGCGGGGTCCACCTGTAAACTTCGGAGGTATGATGATCTTGCGTCCAACCTCACCCGCATCTGGCTCCGCTGACCCCTGCTCCGTATTATTCCAACGGCGAGAATCCTACGTATGGCCGCCTCGTCGTCAGCTGCCATTCTGTGGGTTACAACAGACTCGCCACGCAACGCGTCCGTTAGTCCCTTAGGGTTTCCAATCGATACTGGAGCTAGTTCTTCTTGATGAAGCACAGGCGTTCTTGTTCGCATTTGGCCCATTGGTCAACGCAGTATTGCTGCGTCAGTCGCCCACCACGCAGGATAAGAGAATTACTAACCGTCCGGTCGTAAAGCAGATACGCCTCATATTCCCGAACGGACATAGTTAAGGGGTCACCGTGGCGATCGACAGGGTTACCAGCGTACGGGATATCGTAAGTCCAGCCATTCTCCCCGTACGGAAACAGTAGAGGGTACTGCAGCGGGTCGTAGGTAACGCTCGTCTCAAATATGCGCTTGAAACCCCCTCCTGTCGTGTGTAGGATTATATCCCGATGCTCAGCCGCGTTTGTATCGATCACAACGGCTGCCACGTCTGATGCAGTGGGGGTGTTATGCGTACCCGGGTTTGCATTCCGTGTGACATGCAGACGCAGCTTAAGGTGATCCCCCTCCGGAAGAAAATTACTCAAGGCTAATGACGGATCATGCTCATCAACGTCTTCCCCTGCCGCTCGGCGTCGTTCGTGCTCCCTGATGGCAGCTGCATACTCATCCCAACCACGATCTATCAAAACTCTACGCGCGCTGATAAATTCTTGTGTGTACGGATTGTGCGCCACTAGCATCTGGTCAATCGTTTCCATAACGGCGGGATCGAGGCCTTGGGTCATGTTCATACGGCTTCTCGCACGGGCATCCATGTCTGGATCGTTAATGTATACTTGGGCATACATGGAGCGGCCGAATGTTGGAGGTAGTAACGATCCCATGCGGTGGCACACTGACCCTTGTACACGGAAGTTGTAGACACCATTCCGTGTCACGCTTTCGTCGACGTTGAGAGGCCGAGACCGCGAAACTCCCATGGACGTAAATGCGAATACGTAAGCGACCATGCTCATTCTTTCCAAATGGATAGGTAGCGTCACGACAGAATGTGTTGATCCTTGTGTTGGATGCATGAATAGCCGCATGCGAACTTCTACCGGAGAAATATACCTCCCGAGGAGATACTGAAGAATTTCGTTCGCCCGAATTTCGTTCGCCTTCAATCGTGATTGTCGTCATGTCCGAGTCCTTGTAGATAACCTTGATATCCTTGTTCGTGGCACAAACCTCTACGTTGATGTGGGAGTTGTATTTCTGCGACAGGAACGGATTGTAGGGGACCACCCATTGATTGATGGTCGCGTTGTCCCATACTTTCCCCTTATGGCACAAAATTCCATCCGGACGGCGATCACGCTTGTACGTGGGGTATTTGTCGGGGGTCATCACCGTTTCGTCCGCGAGCGCCTTTGGAAACTTCTTGAAACACCTCCCGTTCTTCATGCACGGGCAGTTCGGGTTCTGTTGACCACAGGGTCCATGCAGCATATAGGAAATCACCGTATCGTACAGCTTCTACCGGAGAAATATACCTCCCGAGGAGATACTGAAGAATTTCGCTCGCCCGAATTTCTTCACCTTCAATCGTGATTGTCGTCATGTCCGAGCCCTTGTAGACGTACTTGTAGATGTACTTGATGGCCTTGTTCGTGGCACAAACCTCTACGTTGATGTGGCAGTTGTATTTCTGCGACAGGAACGGATTGTACGGGACCACCCATTGATTGATGGTCGCGTTGTCCCATACTTTCCCCTTATGGCACAAAATTCCATCCGGACGGCGACCACGCTTGTACGTGGGGTATTTGTCGAGGGTCATCACAGTTTCGTCCGCGAGCGCCTTTCGAAACTTCTTGGAACACCTTCCGTTCTTCATGCACGGGCAGTTCGGGTTCTGTTGACCACAGGGTCCATGCAGCATATTGGAAATCACCGTATCGTACAGCTCGGGGTACTTCTCTTTATCCGGAAACTCCGAGGACACCAGCTTATCGACGTCTTCCTTGGTAGTGGGCTTGTCCTCCGGACGCAGGATAAGCAGTATGTGGGTGTGGGGAAGACCACGCTTCTGATATTCCACTACATGGACTCAAGCGGCTTGAATCCCCAACACACCCTCATCGAGATCCTTGTTAAGAGCTTTTAGTTTCTCCATGAACACGCGAGCCACGATGCGGATGCTTTCTCTCCACGGCGTAAGTTTTCCTTGATCTCAGGCCAGTTCGGGCTGCATGTCATCGTAATGAACAGGCTCGGGGCTCCTGTTTCACGGACGATAGCCATGGCATCCAAGAAGCGTTGGTACATGTAGCGGGGTCCACCTGTAAACTTCGGAGGTATGATGATCTTGCGTCCAACCTCACCCGCATCTGGCCTCGCTGACTCCTGCTCCGTATTATTCCAACGGCGAGAGTCCTACGTATGGCCGCCTCGTCGTCAGCTGCCATTCTGTGGATTTCAACAGACTCGCCACGCAACGCGTCCGTTAGTCCCTTAGGGTTTCCAATCGATACTGGAGCTAGTTCTTCTTGATGAAGCACAGGCGTTCTTGTTCGCATTTGGCCCATTGGTCAACGCAGTAT